GAATGGAAAAAGAAAGAGCAGCCAGTGAAGTGCGTCAGACATATGACGCTCATAAAGTTTCATCAATATAATGTAGTTTGCATTTTAATTTGTTCTACATTGAAGTACAATTAGTTGTCCGATAAATGACATTTTTAACTAATTGTAGATCATTTGGTTTTAGAAGTTTTGCATTTTTGTCCGGAAAATCAAATTTAAAATTGTTAAAAAATAAAATATGTATTAGAACTCAAGTCGAAGTAACACCTGTGTCTGTCACTAGATCTAATAAAAGTGCTTCTCGTTCAACTGTTCGTGTTGTATTTACATCGTTTGAGTCAGGTTTAGAATTTGGTAAGAGAAGAGAAAACATTAAAGCAATTGTAGCCAATAAAACACCAAACAGAAATGGTGGTCCAGGAACATCACGCTGAAATAAACAATAATTTATTAGTTGTTCTTTTTGATGTGCTCTTTATTTATTATGCTTTTGAAAACTATGTTTCCACTTACATTGAGTATATCATTTTTATATGAAATAGATGTTTTATTTTGAAAACTGATTGGCAACAACGTTGTACTGTGTATATTGCCGTCATTTAAATTAACATGGAATAAATAAAATATAAAACCAAACATGGCTGGACCTAAACCATTACATAAACCTCGAACACCATTCACCATTCCTTGAACAAGTCCTAAAAGACACATACACACATAGAAACATCAATAGAAATGGATCACGACAATTTTCTTTGCTTTCTAAAATTGTTACCTTGCTCATTTTCTTTAGCGTAGATAGATACAAATGCACTTATGGACGGATAAGTGATACAAGATAATGCAACGAATACACCAGCTAACCACATTACCCTGAAAGGTGCGAAAAAAACATCAAATACAACTATTCCTCTTAACTTCTGTAAAACAGAAGTGATATTACATACCAGTTAGATGTTGCAATTCCGTATGCGGCTAATTGTACAATTTGAAAAAACAATCCAACCATTATTGTTTCTTTAGAACCAAAATAACGTTGTAAACACGCTAAAATAGCAGTCTAAAAGCGCAAAACAATTTGATAAAAATGTATAGATAAAATAAAAACTTACTTGAGCAATACATGAAAGAATTCCTATAAAGGCGATAAAATAAGCAATTTCATCTTCCGTAAATTGAAGCACCTAAAACAGAAACCAATAATCCATAAACACTAGATATCGTTGTAATCAACAATCCTTAACATACCAATCTTAAATAGACAAAAAAACATGAATATTGCCCAGCTTCTGGTAAATATGATAAAAAGACAATAAAACAAGTAAGACATATAAATCGATCATGTGTAATATGTTTTAATGCTGAAAATGGATCAATTTTATCCCATGATATTTTAGTATTTGTTCGCAAACGTTCTGGTAATGATTCCGGTACAGCAAAAAAAATGAATATAAGATCCAAAATAGCTACGCCTGTGGCCACAGCAATAACAAAATTTTCACTATATAAACGAGCTAAATGTGCACCAATGGCTGGACTTGTTATCAAACTGGCAGCAAATGTAGCCGTTACAAGACCTAAACGAGTCCGTTGAAAGTTAACGTAACTTAGCTGAATTACTTTTTTGAAAACACATTCATTCTTACCATATGCTGCTCCTCTTGATAATTCATCTGTTACATCGGCCACATAAGAATAGACAACACTAAATGTCACAGAGAATAATCCACTGATACTTATTAGAGCAAAATACCACCTAAAAATAAAAGAACAAAGGTTAAACAAAAACCAGTTTAATAATTGAAAAAAAGTCATAAGTAACACTCACATTGGACTAATTTTCATTAATGGTATTGGTGAACATGTAAAAAAGACTGTAAGAAGTAAAAATGGTTTTCGTCCCCATACATCTGAATAAACACCCAATAACGGAGAACTAAGAAACGTTAGTAAACCCTTGCAAAAGACAGAAATAAAAAATCACATATAAAAAAATAACAAATTAATATCGATTCTTACCTTTATACCATGAATAACACCATTCATAAGAAATGTATGTGATGGAAATGTTCGATTTAGAGTCTAAATAGAAAATATAAAAAATATCATCATAAAAAATATTCAAATGAAACATTGATCATTTTCAACTTACGGTAATAACTGGATTTGTTAAGAGTCCCCATGCAAAAAATTCTAAAAATATTACAACTAAACCATGATAAACACTTGGCTTGCCAAAACCACTGGACTAAAACAAAAACAAAAAATTGAAATCATCCTCATCATTTCAACTAAGTTGTTTGCATGATTTCTGATTGTTGTTGTTTTTTCTTAAATTTCGTTAACGACAAAAATTTAAATTGTGTTGTTTTTCTCCTTAATCGTAAATGTTTCAAGAAATTTCAAAATATGATACAAGTAATTTATTTCTTTAGCAAAAAATCCATACCAGATGAATATTGCTAAACACAAATGAACAATAAATAAAATTTGAAATAATTAAGAAAAACACAATTTTAAACCTGTTCTTTTTCATTTAAAAGATTGTTGATAGGAATAACAACAATATAGCTCGATAAACTATTTTATGCAACAGTGGAAGAAAAAATCTCAAAAAACGTTTCATACTTAAACTGTTGATAGAAATTGTTTTTTGTTGTAGATATCATTCGACCAAGGGCGAGAAAAACTGAACAAGTCAATCGTCTTCAAATTTTGATAAATTGAAATGTAATATATAATTTAAAATCTCATTTTCAAGAGAAAATTCTGCTCTATTTGACATTTTTGAAATTATCTTGATATAAAATTGAAATTTTATAATGGAAAAAGGCGATTTTTGAAAATATTTTCATCATACATTGTCTGAAAAATGGTTTATTAAACCTGGATGTATTTTTTATATCTATTAATTAAAAAAATAAGTAAAACAAAACAAAAACACAACTTAAACTTTTGTTGTTAACTTTACTTTTATGATTTTTTTTCGTCTATTTGGAAATTTATTTCGTTTTTCGTCATCATCATCTTCATTTTCAATCATAATTGCTATTTGTTATTAATTATCTATTATTATTAACTTTCGATTATTAGTTTGAAATAAAAATACGACATTTAAACACAAATATACTCGAACAAAAATAGAACAAGCATCTATTGAGTGAGATTATTATAAGTGTGTAGTTTTGGTCTAGAATTAAAACAAAAAAAATTAAATTATATGCAAAAAGCAACACAACAGGTGTTCTATGTATATGCGTAGAAGTAAAAGCCAAAATAATGTGTTTGTTAATAATGTGGATTTTTACTCTATCTTACCACATAATATGTGAAACAAGCACCACCAGCTAAGACTAACACTATTTGATCAACGTACGTTTTCTAGTTAATATAACTATTGAAATTAATCATCATCTGGAACCTACAAACGAGAAACTACACAATATTCTATGATCACTACATTTGTTTAGAGAACTAGAAGAAACGCCTTGGAAATCTCTAACCGAAAGTCTTTTACAATATTACTTAGGTTTCTGTTACGTGAAAAACGATTTATTCGTTCATTTGTTTGGTCCTGGTCTAAGATATTTCAACTTAAGTGTTCTGGTACTCGTTTTCATGTTTCTAATAAGAGATTATATCCGTTGAAACAGAGTGTTCAGTACTCTAACGAAATGAAATGTACACACTGTTTCACATCGTGTGAGAAAAAGTAGAGTATACACTGCACACTTTGAATTCTTAATTTACACCTTGTACTTTTGCAGGATTCTCCAGTTTACCGAAAGAATATAGCGCTGTTTTTCGAGCGTGCGATTTTTAGCCTATCGTTAAAGACCAATGATTTAATTCATTAGACGCGGTCTATACCTCTAATCTCTAGACTAGACTAAAATTCATGATGAGTAGTGGATAACTCAACTATGGATAGAAAAAGACAAAAGAAAAGAAGAATACCTCAACTTAGCCCCCTATCTATTCTATACTATCTAAATTTCAGAAAATGAGTGTACATTCACTACATCATTACCAAAAGAGAAACGGCACTGTCACTTAAAATCTCAGAGAAAATTGACGAATGCTATATTGCTCAATTTTTCAAAATACTGTTTTAGATTAGCAGATGGAAATAAATAATCTTTCACTATCTCTACTACACACACAAATGTGATTTCCGTTTTTATTCTTTAACTGCTGTGATTTTTATTTTGACTGTCTGAACTTGTCCTCATTAAAGCGAGAGATAAAACACAATCTTTTGTATTTTATCGAGGAGACTTTTTAATTTTGGTACACTTTGTTTTGAAAGACAGAGTGTACCGATGTATTTGACTTTAATTCTCATTAAAAAACGCTGGTCGTTTCAACAATATTCTTAACCCTGATTCGACCACTTATAATATGCTCAAATTCTACCGGTTTCATTTGGATACTGCCTGAACACAACGGTTAGATTTTACCGCTTTACTTTATATTCCGCTGAATGACAATAGGATGTACTATCAATATGAACTGATTGCATCCACTCATTATTTATCTGGCAGAGCAGCAAGATATATCTTAAAAACACTCGTTTTCGTCTGGGATCCGTACGGACCCAAGTTGACGGAGCACGGTTAAGCACATAAGTTTAAGCAGAGACACGAGACGTATCTTAAACAATCAGTTCGTAAGATCCCGTTTATGAAGGTATGACAAACCTCCGTTTACATTCAAGAATTTTAATGAAACACCTTAAATTAGTCTACTCTTAACTGCTCACTTTAAACGTGCGTAAATTACGCACGTTTAAATTAGGTAGAACTAATAAATGAATGGACGAACCACCTATTGCTTTAAAAGCATTTCACGGCGCATCACTCCATGACGAAAGACCGGGATAACCTACAGTGGAAGCGTCGTACAGTGAAAATATCGTCATTGCAATGGCATTTTTGCCTTTAGCTCTCTCAATTTTAAAATGTCGCCAGCTGCCGCCGACGAAAGATTATATAATATAGAAATCAACGCGAATTGCAATTTTGTGTATTGTTTTTAGTTTAATTCGAACTTAATAAAAAAAAAATTCCTAAATTACCTATTTTCTGAAGTTTATAGCTGGATGCATGAGAAGTATACGTGCCCTGTTTATCTAAGGAGCTCTGACTTGGTTTGAGCGACGAGACGCTCAACGTCTTGATTAGATCAATACAACACTAAAAATAGGTTTTATTGTTTTAAAGAGGATGATTACATCAGTTTGAAACAAAACATCAATATAAACTTAGAAAAACAATTCTGATCATCGTCATTTCAGAAACATAGTTGCAAACAAAATCCGCAAAAAAAGATAAAGAAGCTAAGATCACGAATACAAACTTCGTTTTTCTATATTTGTTGTGAGTTTTATTTCTGCATCTGCTTCTAGTCAAAACAAGAATCTCGTATTATAAGCATACGATCACACCCCAAATCAAGCAATCCTACTAGGATGCTTCAAGGTCCTATACCCTAGTCGAGACTTCCGACAAAACTTCCACGGGACTCCTGTCGTGAGATCCTGCCGGATCCTGCGGGATAAATCTTTTGTTAAAAATACTTATCATTTCTATAACGCAAAGGACTGCAACGAACTTAAACAACCTTATTTCATTCAATAGAGAATATTGAGCAAATAAATTAAAAATGCATTTTTAATGCTGCCATCTTTCAGAGAATTCTTTGCTCTATCCAAGTTGAAAGTCATTCAGATTTATCCTAATCAGCTAATTATAAACTACTGAAATGAGAAGAAACAATCTGTTCTTTTCTAGTATATCCGTTGAAGTAATTATGAACAGCAGTTGCAAATTGTACAGAATAAATAAATTTCAATGTACGTCAATCTTTACGGACTAATTTTAATTATATCATTTAAGCCAAGTGACGGATATCTTGAGACTATTATAGTTAATCAAATGTAAGAAAATCCGAAAAAGAAGCATGTAAGAATGGATAAAGTTTTATAGAAACGAATTTTGGTTCATTGAAAATAGACTAAAAATGTTTTGAGTTCGTTTTTTGATTACTCCAAATCTGATCTAAAACATTCGTCTTTTAGACATCAGTACAGAAAGATTAGAGCTGGTACATCGTAATATTTCGAACGTGTTACACGAACTTTCACTAGAATTGAGAACTTCGATAGATGAGATCGCGGAAGCTAATCAATGTTTTGGTAATTAATTATTTTTTAATTCTTGTTTCTGAAAACACAATCTCGAGTTAAAATTAAATTTTTTATGCAATTCTTCAAAAATCAAATCTATTAGATGCCGAGTTGATTGAGTAATGAAAAATCAATATGCAATCGATTCGAGTTTGTCTCATTTATGTTCTGCTCTGAGTTGTATACGTATACTCTGCCGTATTTGCATTCTATTATCTCTCTGCCAGTTATTATCTACCTTTCAGTAGACAGATGGATGAATGCAGCTTATGATAAATCTTAAAACGATTAAGAGCCAATAATTTGATTAGAATATTCTTTTTTAAATTAACTGTAGCCATAGACTAAACGGAAATCTATTTTATTAAAAAAGATCTGACGTTTCGACTCTTCATAGAGTCATTTTCAAAGAATATTATAGAACATTACTGTACTTTACGCATGAAATGTTGTGAAAAGGACGAAGTATTTTGTCTGTATATATTGTGTGTTACTTGTAGACAGTCCGTTTCCCGTTTAATCCAACACTTCATCAGCAACAGATATATCAACAGGCGGGTTCTCCAATTGGGTTTAATAATATTGATGCATTATTATCTACAGATATTATGAACCATCAACAGCTTTATACACAACAACACCTGTCAAACCAGATCCAACCAGCAGTATAACAACTGACATCGTCACAAATTAGGGACAACAAGGTCGAAAATAAAGCGATCTACAACTCAAGTCAGGTTGCGCCGATGCTAGTGGATTATACGCGTCCCCCAGAATTACCTCAGAATAGGACTGAGGTAAACGCAGAGCATGCACCTCCATCGATAACTAACCACGTGAACGTTGTGAACGCCGCTCAATCTATAATGACACACCAACTCCCAGCTGTTCATATCGTAATTGAACAAACCTCATCTCTATCATAGAAAGATATCGATGCATTTCTTACACTGAACATCCCAAACCTTCGTCTACGCTCCATTAAATTTTATGCTTCAAAAAGGTCATATTCATTAATACCATATTCATTAGATGATTTAGCAACAATGGAATCATTTAAATGGTCAGATAAAATTAGTAACTCTTCAATTAAAATCATGTTACCGAAATTTGGTTCAACATGCCATATAGTGCCATTATTTATACAGTTAAGCTGGATGAGGACACTAACAACATTCTAGATGAAATTAAAAACAAATATCCATCGACATTGAATCTACTGAGAATCAAATCATTGAGAACAAGTAAAGAATGTACAGTTTGTCGAGTGGATTTTGTCAATAGACAACATAAAGAAACTTTTATCAAAAATAGAGAATTCCTCTATAACCACATTGTTCACACTGTGGCCGATTATCGAAACCCAGTGCTAGCTATTAGGTGTTTTAAATGCCAGGAATATAGGCATTATCAAAGTTCATGTAAAGGAAATGATTTATGCTCAAAATGTGGTCACGCTCATTTGAAGGATGCCTTATGTAACCCAACCCCATATTGTCCAAATTGTTATGGTAATCATCCTCCAAACAGTAACGACTGCCCAAAAAAACTAGAATATATGAAAGCAATTAGAGAACAAATAAAAAACAATCCAATTGAAACCTCAGCAAAATTAATAAACCATCAACAGCGATCATATGCAGAGGTAACATCTTCCACATCCTATGAAAGTAATACTCGGGTATATTTTGAGAAAGCAGTTGAAGCTGTCCAAATGAAATTTGTACACACTGTAAATAAAACATTAAAACCGATCGCTACCACCTTAAAAAGCATCCAGGATGACGTGAAATCATTGAATGATATTAGTACTCAATTATACTCCAAGCATCAAATATTAGAAAATGAAATCACTAAAATAAATAACCGTTTATCAAATTTACAAACACATCTACCATCGATTCTTCAAACAATACTTAATGGTGTTGTTCCCCCAACTTCAACGCTACATACACAGCTCCAGTCAAACATTGACAAAGCATGTGCACTCATATTTAAACCCATTTTAACAAACAAAAAACGTTCCTCTAATTCACATTCAACAACAGTTCGGAAAAAATCATCGTCAATAAGAACAATTACATCGACTAATAATAATGATAGTTATACTTGTGATTCTGAAAATGCAACTTTATCAATTAATGATAAATAACAATAATGAAAATGAAAACATAGATAAACTCAAAACTACCAATAATTTAAAATTACAGGTATTAAAACAGGTATGGGACACATCATCATTAGAAGATTTCAGCTCTTGCTACTCTTCATTATGTAATGAAGTTAGAGATAAACTTCAGAACTTTGTATTAACTTCTGTTAACTCTATCACTATTCTTATTTTTAATGTACGCGGTTTGAGCGATAATCTCTCATCTCTACAACATGTATTCACAGGAAAAAACCCGATGTGTTTGTTTTTACGGAAACAAAATGCGGGCCACAAAAAGCAAAAACATGGAAATAATATCATCATCATTTTTCGTATCATAATCATAATACTCTGTTTTGAAACCTAACAATCTAATATAGAAATATTCAGAGTTTATTAAGGACTCTTCTGAATTTACGAATTTGGTTAAAACTTTTCCCAAGTCACATCTAAAATTAAAAATGGTTTCGTTTGACGTCAAAAATTTATTCACAAGGGTACTTTTGGCTTATACGATAGATCTCCTCATTCAAAAGTTATATGGCACATGTGAGTCATCTTGCATGAATCGGAAGAAAAATAATACAATATGTGAAGGATGTAAAGATAGACAGGATTTTCGTACTCTATTAGACTTAGCTACCTCTGGAACACATTTCATGTTCGACAATCAGTTATATGAGCAAATTGATGGAGTCAGTATTGGAGGACCTCTAGCCGGGATTATTGCGGATATCTTCATGGCCCATTTAGAAGAATCATTATATGATCGGTTATATAATAACGGAGTCCGATTCTGGCGACGGTATGTCTATGATACTTTTACATTGATTAAGCAAGAAGCCTCCACAGATAATATATTAGTATTGTTGAATAGCTTTCATCCCAGTATTAAGTTTACGTTTGAGATTGAAGAGAGCAATACATTACCGTTTCTTGATGTTAGTATCATCAGAACTGATTCCACATATGATACAACTATCTTTAGAAAAAACACATTTACAGGTCTAATCATGAAATGGGACTCATATGTCCCTATGTCCTATAAACGCTCAGTCATCAGTGGTATGATTCATAGAGCCATTAATATTTGTTCAACTTATTCACTATTACATGAGGAATTGAATATTATTCGCAAAATAGCTAAAAGTAATGGCTACCCTAGTTCTTTTATTGAAATGCTCATTGGGATAAACATTAGTAAATGGTATAGCAAATCTGATACGTGTGTTGATACGGATACTGACAAGAAAAACAAAAGATTGTTTATTGAAGTGCCTTTTGTTGAGAATAGTACAAGAATGTTTAGAAATGACTTACGGAAGTTTACAACTGAAATTCGACCAGATTCACAATTAACAATTATTGAAAAGCCTTCAATATCAGTTCAAAATTTCTTTGATTTTAAGGATAAAATACCAAATTACTTGAAGTCTGATGTCATTTATAACGTTAAATGTAAAGACTATAGTTCACAGTATATGGGTAAAACTAAACGACAAGCATGTAGATGACTGTATGAACATGGATTACCCAAAGATACCTATAGTTCTCTATAGTTATCATCTCAGTCATTATCTAATGTGAATTCATCCTCTATGACCACAGCAGCACAATCAGTGAAAATAGCTCGAGTAACTAAAACAAAAACTACTCAGAAAATAACGGAACAAGTTAAACTAATGAATGCCTCTGATGGAAAGGTTCTCAAAGAGATTGATAATTATTCAGACATTAAAGATGTGAAATCTGCTCTACAAAAACATGTTGAAGATACCTCTCACACTATTGATTGGGAGAATTGGCGTATAATGGACAGGGACAAAGTTGAATATCGATTGTTAGTCAAAGAGTCTTTGTTAATAGCATCATTCAATCCTGAATTAAATCGTACGGTTAGATCTGTACCTTTGATTGTGTTTCCCGACGGCCTTTCTCAGAGAAAGAGCAAAAGGAATGTCGATCCAGGCGGATAGAGAAATGTTATGAAGAGTGAAACAAAAGGGACTGATAAGATAATTACTGACTGTCTACAAGTAACACACAATATATACAGACAAAATTCTTCGTCCTGGGGGACAAATATCTAATAGCTCTGGCAGATTCTATTGATAGCGAACTATTATTTGAAAAGGCAAATTTAAATGAGTATAGAAAGGCCTGGTTGGAGAAAGAATATCGTGTTAAATGTCTCAGAAGAACGAAAAGATATGTTGAGAACATGTCCATCCTTGCAAAGTGTGTTTTGTGGGTCTCTGCTAACTCTTGTACTTCTTCTGTTCCTTATTTTACGATGGAGGAGGTTGAACTTCTGCAGGATTTTCCTGAATCATTTTTGGCGTAATTTTATGTGGAATTTTATGTGTAGTTACTGTGTACTACTGTATATTCAGCCTGTGATCTAATGTAGTAGTAATATTCTCTTTTTTTTTATATATATCTTCTCTTCTTACATTGTCTCGCTCTTTTTTTTTTTCACACATTGTACTGTCAGGACCTGAAGGGTCATCAGTTATTGCAAAATAAAACAAAACAAAAGTCTTCGTCCTTTTCACAACATTTCATGCGTAAAGTACAGTAATGTTCTATAATATTCTTTGAAAATGACTCTATGAAGAGTCGAAACGTCAGATCTTTTTTAATAAAATAGATTTCAGTTTAGTTTATGGCTACAGTTAATTTAAAAAAGAATATGATAAATCTCCTGTTTTTCCGAAATTTCTCATAATTTTCAGATATGTTTTAAGCGAAATACGATAATTTTATCTAATAGAAAGTGTGTGCTAAGAGCACATTTAGAGATCTCATTCAAGAGCAACTGCTTCATGTTGTTTCAGCATATTGGCACTTTAGAGTAATTGGATGCAACACCAAATTAAAAGCCACAAGTTGAATAAACTACTGTCATAGACGTTAGAATAATATCGTTTTGACTGTATTACGTTATGTAAAGACAAATATATACAGATATGAAATATCGTTTTTTCCCTCAAAATGTCACGGTAGCATTACCATAAAACAACTCTAAGCTTTATTAACTGGTAAAATACAAGAAATAGAATGGAAATAAAATATTTATGGGTGTAATGGGAGTCGATAGAATAAATAACACGTAAAAATAAAAGAACATCGACGATTGTTGTAGTTCATAGCACGTAGTGTTATGTGTTTTTCAAGTTCGGAATGTCTTTTATATTGCACAGAGTATCAACGTTCTCAGTACATATATGATCCGAATGTCCATGGATGTGATAAACGATTTGTTATTTCATGTTTGAGTTGTTTTAGATTTTTCACTGAACGATAAGCATTATCAACATCTCGACGAGCACGACGCTAAAAATAAACAAACTATGAGTCTAGAAGATCGTTAGAGACATAAAACTCACTGAATCCATGTCAAAATGATACATTCTTGGTGCAATGCCAGCACGATCTTGTAGCAACCATTCACGATTACCATCAATTCGTGTATGATTTTCATCTAATTTATTGATTGTGTCATCATTCATTGCTTGTAAATCACTGTTTCAATGAAGGCATAATGAATTTTTTTTAATATCAAATTGAATACATTTTCACTTACTATCCGGTTTCAACATTATCTTCAGCTTTCCAATAACTTGGTTTAGCGTCAACCGTTTTTGTCAATCCTGTATATTTCACTCCTACATTATCAACACCTTGTTTTTCAAATCGAACAAACTTAAACAATTAGAAAATTGTTTAAAAATATATCTCATTCACAAGACTTTCAGTGCAAAGCAAAAGCAGTGCTTGAGCAGATGCGTTTTTGTTTGTTGCTGAGTATTTTATTCTATCGTTCATCGAACGTATTTTTGATCAAGATATCGTATGGCTCAAATTCATATCAGTTTGTTGTTGTTATTTATTATTTTTAATATACTTGTCATGCAATTTAACAATAAAAATCATTTCTAATTGTGTAAAAAAATGAGAGAGAGAGAGAGAGAGAGAGAGAGAAATACAAAATATTTTCTAATACAGCTAATGATAATAATAATAATAATAATAATAATAAAAGTGACGAAGAAAATTTTGATTGTCGAACACACAGGTACATGAGTTCACATTTAAATATTAAAACACTGTAGCTTAATGAAAACAGTCCTCTATCATTTTTTGTGGTTGAATTTGAGCCGTCGACATCCAATCAAAATCGTTTCCGATTAAGGGTAAAACTGATTCTATATACTGACGAAATCGTACATATGCCGTTGAATAATATAGAAAATGTCTAACGTCTAATCATTTATATGTGCTTCTGTGTATATGTGATACGTTAATAACCATTCTGAAACATGACAGAAAGAAAAAAGATGGACAGCTGTGCAGTATATCACTAAACGGAAAATACTTCAATCAAGAAGTATTATTGTAAAATTCTCGAAATTCCTAAGCATCAATGCATCATGTGTGTGTGTGTGTATGTGTATGTGTTATGCACACTTCAAGCATAATGGCTCACGCCAAAATCTAATCATTATGCATTACTAGTCGTGCTTTGCCATTACATGCGCAGTGTTCTAATCTTACCGTTCTTCCAAAATAATCTCTTGGATTATCTAATCTTGTACTATCTCCCACTCGACTTCTAACTGCTTGTCTAACATCTTCTCTTGCTTTACCCAAAAGATGATCAGCATGTGTTAATGTGCTAAATGTTGATGGATAATGAAATCTTAATTGTCTTAATTCACGATTATAATCAATATCACGCATGGCACGTTTCATTGTACCAACACGATTAATCGCATCATTAAAACGATATGTTGTATCATAGCCGGTTGATGAATATAAACTTGGACTACGATAATTGTACAATGGACGATAACGCCAATCATCATATGGGAAATTATAGTAGAATGTGCGTGGTGCTGTATGATACCAATAATAAGGACGAAAATGATGATAATGATCATCGAGATAAATTGGTGTTTTATCACGGATACGTTCTGTGTAACGATCAAAATAATCAAAATCATGTGTGGCATACGGACGATAGGGTCGATGTGCTTTTAAATGATCAAAACGATTCACTGATTGTGAACGCCGCCAATTGTCATAAGCATTTGATCTACCTCCCGTTGAACGATATTCATCGGCCACATTATCAAAACGAGCAACACTTGCAGCACGAGGTACATAGTCGTCAAGACGTGATACCGAACGAGCACGTGAATAATAAATATCTGGTTGATATATATTTAATCGAGTGGAATACGAGGTGTCACCATTATCGTAAATAGACGGGGTCATTTCACGACCAGGCGTAACACCTCGATGACGACTAAGAGAGCGTGCTCGTCTTGTTGACATTATTATTTAAACCTATAAAAGAAAAGAAAGAAGTCAAATCCATTTTTAAACAAGTATAAACTCCAATGTATAATAATAATGTTTTTACTACTGTAAGACTTGAACTATGCATATATTTTTCTGGACAGTTGAAAAAAAGGTAGCAGTACTCTTTATCAAGTACAGTAATGCTATATTATGCTCTCCTAATTCGAAAAACGCGTACTAACATGAAAAAAGCTTCGGACTCGCAGTAAAATGACGACTGTGTATGTGACAACGTCGAATGTTGTTCGATTCTCATTTTCTTTGGTAAATTGAATAACAAGACCAGATTTCTCAACAATTATATTTTTTTATTGGATTTCTGATATTTCGTGGTGTATATTTTATAAATCAAAAGAAGTCGCATGTATGAGAAAACAATTCATACTCAAATACTAGAATTTCACATAATAACAACATCCATCACGAAAATTCACACTGACTATGTCATCTGACTTAGCACCTTCAAAAATCGGAGAGTAATAAAATAGTCCACAAAAGTAATGATTATCATTCAATTAATTAATCAGCTCTCTGTTATAAATAAAGTTTACCTCTGGATAATATATTTGAATGTTGCGGTATTCGTATCACAGACACACACACACACACATAGAGGTTTCTAAAGACGAGATAATAAACAACCACGCACTCACGCGCATATACTCTTTTCTTTTCTTGTTTTTTTTCTTGGTGATATTGTGGTTACTGATGATCTTGTTAACGATTGTTTATTTGAAATAATTGTGGCTTTTTATCTCTTTCTCTTCGTGTTCTTCCCAAATATTATTGTATCACACAGCCGTAATGTTTTGTCCTTGTATATTACAACAATATCACATAAATACCATATAAGTCGTAGACCATATATGAAGGATGACGATATTTCTTTTCTAGAATAATAAGTATCTGTGTACATAAGAGTCTGATCTTTCTCTAAAAGCTTCTTTTTCCTATTTCTCTATTGATGAGAATATTTTTTTATATCTATTAGCGTACGTAAAGAAAGAGGTTGTATTTCTCCAGTACACTTTTATATCATCTTTGAGGACAAAACAGAAAAATTTTGTGGGTAGGTGTTTAATAACATAACGGGAAGTAGGAATATATATTGTACCAAAAATAGTTTTCTATAGGAATGTTTTCCATTTTGTGGAAGGACAGAAAAAAAATGTACAACATAATAGAGACAATAACAGTCAACAAGTTTTGTGTATATTGGATTGGAACATTTTCAATTACTTCAACGATATAATTCACATTCTGAATGTTGTACGCTACTGTTCGGATCATTGAATTCATGATGTTAACAACAACAATGCATCAGTGCCAGAGCTCCGTATGGATTGGAATAAGAATATTTTGAGCTTATGAACTCGGGATAGACGGGACTCAAACTTTCAAAACCATAGACTGGTTTGGACTTGAAAAACAGTTTTGATTTCACTTGAATCGGGAAATAATCAGTAAAAAAACATATTGTTTTTGTATTATGCACTAGAATGGACGACTTTTTTTAGAGTCCATGGACTGAAAAAACAGTTTTTCATAGACTCGGAGTGGACTGGGCTAGATTTTTTAGTCCATGGTCTGGACTGGACTCAGAATTTTGAGTCCATACGTAGCTCTGGTCAATACTGCTCATTTTATCTAACGACTATTGATTTTCATAGTTTTCAGTTAGATCATTCACTGTCTTAGTTAAAAAAATCTATTTTTAACGATTATTATTACTATATGATATGCTTTACAATATCTTTTTCTCCTCTTCTTCGTCGCTTCTACTTGATTAATATAAACATTGTATTATCATCAACAACAACAACAAACACCTATAGTTAAAAAATTATCGTCTTTTTCTAGTTTTTTTGCAATAGACAGTTGTTATCCGATAGCCAGTCCATCAAAAGCCGTAAAAATTCATAGTGTATGTTAGAAAAAACACTGTCAGTATATGCAATAACCAAATATGTATAGTTTCTCAAAGCATAGAAAAAGAGAGACGCTAAATAGATGATCTATAAATAAAACATGAGCAAACGAACATTAAACACTGAAAAAAGTATCCCAGGAATGAAAGAAATTTGCGTAAAAGAAATCACCAGAAGAATATAATGATAATAATTTACTTTTAATAATAACACAATTAATAAATCACTATTACACACTGTGAAGTGATAAAATATTGTAATATTTAACTGAATCTCACGAAATGTATAAAGGTTCAAAGTATATGATCAAAACAAAAAATTGCTTTAATTGTTGTAATTCGTATACAATGAATGAATAACGAACAGAATAGAAGTAATCAGTATCTAAGTGAGAAAAGGGGTATTTGTTCAAATGTGATTAGTTTAATACAAAGAAGTTAGACATTGAACTTAAACAAATAAGCAAATATTCGTTACTGTTGTTATTCATCACAATATCGATGGAATCAACATAGTTGTTTAATATGCAGAAGATTTTCATTCCTAAAGTTCTTGAATACGCACGCTAATAATGAATTTTTAATTTTTCATAAAAAATAGTCAAAACTGGGTTATTTCACCTCATATAGATGATGAATAGGTTTTTGAATTTTCTCTGGAAAACAAATATTACCACGACGTTTAGCGTAGTCGATAACATATGACTCTACAGATTTTTGAGGTTACTCCACGTAATGGCAAATCAGTTCTGCCATTTCAAGAAAATCCTTCATCATAGCTGAAAGATCCAGTAGAAAGAGTTCACTTAACTCTCATATCAAAGAGGACACTTTAGATTATCTACACATGTAAAAAATCAATACATCGTTGTTTAAAATTTTGCTACTGTGAACAAATTTTCCAAAGAGGCGACGGAATATCGAGTTTGAAAAAATATTTTTAAATTTCTTTTCCTTAGGAGATGTTTCAACATCTTGTCAAACTCCTTTTGTTTCTGAGTAATACGAAAACAAGCGCACCGTATTTTAAATTTAAATGGATGTTAGTGAAGATTTCTGAAACATTTTCAATAAGTAAATAAAGAAATATTTTCAAGGTATACAGCTATGGTCTTTATATTGGAAAACGTTAAAAAAAAAAGGCGTAAAGAAAAAACGAACGCACTACTTATTTCTCACTCACCCGATTCAGTATAACTCTACTTTCAAAAGATGCCCAGAGACACTCTTGATTTGTTCCCATTTGACAAAAATGCTACGCCATACTACTCGAATAAGTTTTCCAAATCAAATTATGATAATTAAGTAATGGACGAAATACTTTGTGATGATTTATAATGTGTTTTATCAATTACACTTTTTAAGATAAGTTCATCCACGTATTTTTGTGAATATCTATGAGATGCGAATTTGTGCATAGTTAGATTTAAAAGTCTAAGCCTTTAATAACTAAGAAAGATAGCGTATGATTGAAAAGCAGGTAATAATAAATCAATTTTTTTTATCAAAATTAAGTAATTATTTATTACACTTGAAAAAGACACCGTCCTATACTTTCGATCTTTTCTACAAAATCTGTCTTACTTATTCTCAGACGCTCTTTTCTGTATGATGATCATCCGTCTTACTGTCCATAATTGATGGAGAAGTCACTTATCTCTTCTGTTTTACGTTACTACTGGTATGTATAGCAAGAGTTTTTGGAACGATGCGCATGAACAATGTTGCGCTCGGATTCTTGCGCACGGATTCATGCGCGCTCGGAAACATGCACACGGGTATCTTACGCACGAGGAATGTTCCGCACTGGAATCTTACGCACCAGGTTGTTACCCACGGACGACTAACTAAACGATGATGAAGTTTATTTAAGAGAAATATTATGAGCTAGATTATTGATTTGATCAATTATATCTGTATGTAGATTTAACAAACGTTTATCTAAATGTTGATATTTCTTTGTTTTTTGTATTGATTCTCCAGTGTTGGCGTGTAAAATTTTTGTACGAATGGCCGAATCTTCCTCATCACGTACTTTGTCAATGAATTTCCATAATGTTGCATTAACATGTATGTAATGTTAAAATGCATGTGTGTAAAGGATAATGACAGTCAAAACGTTTATGGTTCTCACAGAGCCAGTACGTTTTTATATTCGTTTGACGATCTTTTACATATCAATACTCGTCGTCAACCATCAGCAGTTGACCTTTCGCAGTTAAAGTCATTTCACGTTGAGAAGTCATAGTACAGAAAATTTCGAAATCGTATAGTAGTGTAGCATTATATTGCACTGAACTATATTTTATAGTACTATATTGTTTAGAAAACATCATCGTTTTGTTAGTTTATTCACAATAATTAATTATGTTCTTTAAAAACTTTAGATTAAAAAGAAACACTCTGATTACAGAACATCATCATTTTGATTTTCTGTCTCATTATGTGATACATGCGCAAGCGTACGTGCGTAACAACCTGGTGCGTAAGATTCCAGTGCGGAACATTCCTCGTGCGTAAGGTACCCGTGCGCATGATTCCACGCGCATGTTTCCTCGTGCACATGAATCCGTACACAACATTATTCGTGCGCATCGTTCCTAAATCCGTATAGCAAATCGTGTCACTTTTGCTGAGGTTGGTTCACAAGGGAACATTATACATCATTCAACTTATACTTTTATAAGGAGTTCAAAGGTGATACTGCCTTTTCTGTACAACTCTTAATTTTATTTTCTGCTACTCTAGTTTCGGTAACTACAAGTTGATTTTGTATTTTCTCTAATTTGCATAGAGACCAGCATGTAAAAGAAAATAAGTCGGTCTCCTTGAGGAAAAAACTTTTTATCTTACATCCGATTTCAATAGCGCTTACAGTGACTAATGCTTACTGTCCAACTAGCCTATGCTAAAAATTCGAGATCAAAACGTTGAAGCATTGCCGAGTTATTGTGTGACTACAGCCAAGATGAGGCTCTCAGCAAAAACGCTATGGCTTTTTTGTTGGAAGGAGCAGAAAGAAGCGTGTATTCTCTCTCTCTCTTGGGGTGTTGTTACTCCACGTGGCCGTGTGTATAAGTGTGTTTTACTTTTTCTGCTTTCCTACAGCAGCTCTTTCTTTGTAAAGTCAGCTTTGTTTGTAAAATAAAATCCAGTTCAAGTTCAAGCTGCGGGTAGTCTTAAATGAAAGTAGACACCTACATCTACAGCGATTTTTGGATTTCACGTCCGTTCATTCCCTACACGTATTTTAAGTCAGAACTCTGAAAATAACCCTAAGCTCGGAGGATATTTTTCACTGCACAGAAAACGAAAGTCAAAGTCGCTACGGACAAAACTTAGATAAACGGAGAGCTGTCCAAATATCGTTATCTGGATAATAGCTATACATCTAGGAAATAAGGATTTAAGAAGATAACGGAAATCACGCCTAGCAGAAAGTGGTAAAATAATGTCTTGTGACTCACTCTCATGCTGCCACCTTCCCACACCGTCCCTTGTGTCTCTTATCTTCTTAAATCCTTATTTTCTATCCTTATATCCTTAAATCCTATTTATATAGCTATTATCTAGATAATGATAACTGGACATCTATGCCAAAACCATATTCTAAGCAATGACATCATCACTTCATTAATTATCAGCGCCTTTAACAAAACTAGTGTAGCTCTGCAAGGCAAAGTCGTACAAACCTGCAAGACATGTCATTTTGATCAGAACACTCTGCTTAACATAGCGCCATATCTGTTGAAACGGATGCCCTTAAAAATTTTACTTGAAATTTCAAATTTAGAAAAGTGGTTTTTATGGCTTTCAGAAGCGTTTTTAAAAAATCTACAAAAACATTGAAGCTTTGGCAAATTGAAATGGATTCTGAAAGATGACAGTTTGGTATAATCAGCCATATGCTTACTTCAGTTTCGAAGAAAAAAGCGAATTCCTGAGTGGAACCCCTTAATTTTGTAAACAAAGGAAACTGAACGAGAATGCTTTTAGCGTGAATATTTATCATTTTTAAGATGGCACATCGAGATGAAAAATTAAAGAATGAAGAATTTGCATTAACTAATATGTGTACTTTTTGTTTTATTATATTGTCCAAGTTCAGTATGGTTCACGTTAAGTTCTCAATTAAAGAAGGGAAGAAAGATCATGTAGCAGTAATTTTGCCTATGTTCTTGCTGCTTTACTTTGGAATTACCTCACTAAGGTTTTAGTCATAAAATTTTAATTTCATAGCGCCTGTGCTTCAGAGTAAATAAATTCTCAATTTTTAAGAGTTAAACAAAATGAGTATAGATTTTCTTTCCGTAAGAAAATTTACACTCAATTATTTTGATTATTACCAAGATTATTGATATGATTAGTAGGTAATAATTAGCACAATAATTAATGATGTTCTTTAAAAACTTTAGATTAAAAAGAAACGCTCTGATTACAGAACATCATCATTTTGATTTTCTGTCTCATTATGTGATACATGCGCAAGCGTCTGTGCGTAACAACCTGGTGCGTAAGATTCCAGTGCGGAACATTCCTCGTGCGTAAGGTACCCGTGCGCATGATTCCACGCGCATGTTTCCTCGTGCACATAAATCCGTGTACAACAGTGTTCATGCGCATCGTTCTTAAATCTGGAAAAGTCTTATACTAAGACAGATGCATCAGGCTGTTTACATCTCCAAGGTACTAATTGTGTCTGTGTGCAAATTTGTAACCTATACCCACGAGGGCTTTTTCAATAGACTTATTCGGATATATTCTCATGACTGAAATATAGCGCAAACGTCAAAACTCTTCGCTATATCGGGATATATGATTATTCTTTTTTGATTATAATATCATTATGTGCATGCCGATGAATCATCGCATTACTAAAAGCCTTTTGATCTTTTGTTGCGACGATACATCTGAATATGTGTAATTCTTGTCATATATTGCAATAATTTTTGTAGTCTGATATATTTATAATATTAATATATTAATATTTATATATTTTATATTTATATTTTTATAGTGCGACGTTTGCAATATGGTTGGGTCACCGCGATATGCCCAGATAAGCCTTTATATTATAAATTCAATTTCATACAAACCATATTGCTATTTAATCCAAAAACATTTTTGTAAAATGATTTTACAAAAATGTTTTTCAATTATATTAAATATACTTAGTTTTATAAGAAACGTAAAAAAGTCAAAGAATGTCAATATATTTAATCCAATTGGTACTTTTCAAGCAGAATATGAGAACTAACTGAGATGGTCTGCTAAGTTTAAGTATTTTATTTAAAAACCGGGTACACGACATGCTGAAAATTTGCATAAATTTCGCTTTTTTAGGGTTTTTACAAACAGTCTATAATTCAACATTCATAGAGTTAGGTTTGATATTTGTCGCGATAGAAATTCTTATCGCAATAAATACGATGTATGATGACTCATCTATGCGATCGGATGCAACAGTTAGTGTTATAAACATTACAAGTATTGCAACACAATATTATGATATTCAGCGAAAATTTTTTATTGTTCTGTATCCTACTACATTTTATTATTGCGTTACTGCTAAGGTTAACAAACGGAGAGTTAAAGAGTCATTGAAAGTGTTATGACGCGATGTGATCCAGCAGAGAGAAGGTATCGGGATAGCCAGCAGAAATATCTGATTCGGCTATATGGAGGTAAAAATTATCGGCGCATATTCACATCTGAATCTCAATGCGCTTAAAATAAATTTAAAAAGTCAATCGCTCAACCGATCATATGATGACAGTTCCAATTATCCCGATATATTTTGATAATATTTTACTAATGTTTATCGCAATAGTGATGACTCATCGATATTATCGATGAGTCATCACAATATCGATTCGATATATTACAATTCGAAAAAGATTGCACTTTATCAAAATATCAGTTTCATTGCGATGACTCCCTTAGATATCGCAATAAAAATTCTATGGCAATAAACGGCGATACAATGATATCGAGCTCTAACGGAATAGTTGGAATTATTGCGATATTGAAATGAGTTTATCGTGTTTACATTCATAGCGACCGCTTTGACATGTCATGACACCAGAATTTAATTGGATAGATATCACTTTATTGTTATATTTATTAGTTTTTTCTACTTTTATGAAAAAATATCGTTTTTTTGTTCTATACTTTCGTCTTTATACATGGGCGCGCCGAGAATCTTTTACGAGATGGTACACTAAACATTTTAGAGTGATACGATTAAGCATCGTTCTTTTTGTTTTTACTTCGAATTTTAAGAAAATACACTACTATGCAATATAGTTCTTCACATGACAATAACTGCTTATTGCCCCTGATATTTTTCTTCAGAAGGAAAAATTGCGTGGCTGGTGGTCCGCCAGTGTCTTTATACGTATCATCTTCAAAACGGAAAGTTTTTGTTTTGTTGATTTTCAAATGGGCATATGATTAACTTCAGTTGAAAACAAAAACAAGTATGTTTGAGAAACGTTCTTTCCTGAATATCAAGATGAAAATTTGTCTGCAGTTTAAAATAAATCTTTGTTATTGTTTGATATTATTCGATGAATCATTTGTTCTAGCAAACAGTAAACATTGTTTTGATTATAAAAATATTCTCTATAGTCATCTTGTATACTTATCCGATTGATAAACATGTTTCAGTTTATTGAAATGGATCATCAAGACAGACAATAAATTGTGTATATACTGGTTTGTTTTTCTCGCAATCATTCAAGCATAACACAAAACAACCTTCATTTGACTATAGTTACAGAAAAATGCAATAGCATTATTTATTCGTTTTTTTTGTAAATATGTAAAAGACTTTTAAGAAAAAGGTGATGAACAGAAATATTATCTTTGATAATATAAATAACTAAAGTTAGTTTTCACTAGTAAAATCTACTTACAAATTATCTTTTTGCTTTTAGTAGTCAGGTATTATTTTTGAACTATACCTTGACATATATGCAAAACAGAATATTGTCACATATTCAATACAAAGTTGGTTGTTTACGATACCTGAATGTATAGGGTATATATGCCAGATATACGCATGTTATTTTTCTTTTTCATATTTTCTCCGAAAACAATCGTTATATTTCAATCCTCTTGTTCTCTTTTTTTTTTATCGTAATAGTTCATTTAAGATATGAAGCGTAAAACGAAGGTTAAATTAATGAAAACAATTAGTCTTTCAACAAAGTGAGTCAATTGTGTTTTATTTCTTTTATAGGCAGGACTTTTAACTAACAGTTGTATTTAAAAATCTGTAGTCAGTTTAGAACTGATTATATCAAAACTCAATTGATCCACTAATAAATATTAGACAGTACTTTGAAAAAGATTTTATGACAAGATATGTATACATTTGTAGTATATTACTTAGTTCAGTGACTGTCTGTCTCAAGGGCATTTTTTTTCTCTTTAAAAACAATTGATTCTTTCACAAAATTTGCTTTGATTTTACTATGATTAGGTACATATCATTTGTGTTCGAACTCAAATACTCTAACTGATTAAATTTAATCTCAGAAGATGTAGAAAATCGATGTTTGAATACTCCTTTAATATATATGTATATAGCCTTATTATACTTTTATTTCTATTGTTATGAATTTTTAACGTTTTTTTACACTTTTTCTTTTAACTTATTGTTGTGTATTAGTTGATTATGGATCCATATAATACTCTCGTACCAACAAATAGTATTTTATCGAATGGTGGGATTGGCACGTATCCGATGAATGCAGATGCGTTTGGCATTTATCCGCTAAACGCAGGAATTCAGCAGCGCCCATACAGAGGTGGCTTTTTATCAAGAATTCCGAATTTATTTATACCGGCTATTTTTTTGCTGGCATTTTCATGGCTGTTACAAGCCATAGCCACATTCATTCCCTATTGGTCAAAATATAGTGGTGTAGGTAACTCAAGAGCAGGTGAGAAGATTCAAAGAGAGTATATATTATGGAACTTGAAAAATGAATATTTTAAGGTCTATGGAGTGCTCGAGCAAATGGTACGATGATACAAAATTTTTATTTTCCAATTAATATAACTGAGAATATGACAAGCTTTTCATTTACAAGAGCACAAACAAAAGGTGAGTTTTGACCGCTAAATAGTGAATAAAAAATGATCAACCATTTTTTTTGTTCAGGATACATTGTTACCGTTCAATTTTTAATGACATTTAACTTTGTCTTTATGCTTATTGTTTTGATTTTACTCGTTATTGACCAATTACGGCACAGTCGAAGGTCAGAGGAAAGCTTTTTACAAAATGAACAAAATTCATCTGAAACAGCAATGAAATATGCATTGTTATTGTATATTACTTATGTTATGGGTATGTTTGACCAAGTTTTTTTTACTTTGATTTTACCTTTTTGCAAATAAGCGTACTATTCATTACTCTGACTATTGAAATGAGGCCACAATAACCTGTGTATCTATTAGAAACATGAAATACTTTTTTACTAAAAAAAATATTCAACCTTGGGAAAATAGATTAGTCCCATTACAACCGGTGGTAGCAAACCCTATACTATCAAAATTAGAAAACGGTATACTATCCATTTCATATTAACAGGCATTCGTCTATTTTATTCTGAATAAAGTTTGATACAGAGGAGAGACCTACGTTTTTCTCCGTTTGATAGCTCAAATTGGAGCACATGAACCAGTTTGTGGCAAGCAGTTTTGAAAATCTTTTGCGAAGGTTGATCTC